ATATATATAAGCAGAGCTATTATACGAGCCTTCAACCACATCTAAGGTGTCTAAAAATTCGAGTATCACCTCCTTAAGACCAATCGTGCTGGAGGGGATTCAAACCTCTGACCTGAAGGGTCTTATATTGTGGATGACAACCAACAAAAAGTCTACAGCACATTAGGGCTTGCTGGAGGCTCGTGTGTACATATATATATATATATATATATATATAGGTTGGAATATTAAAATTTAATTATTTATATAAAAAAAATTTTCTAATTTTCAATTGAAGAATTTCAAATTTATTAATGAGAGAGAGAGAGAGAGAGAGAGAGAGAGAGAGAGAGAGAGAGAGAGAGAATAGAAATTTATTTCATTCATCTACCTTGCAAAATCACTAGCCCCAACATACACATTCACAAACTAACAAAATCATACAATTTACATATAATTATAAATTCACCCTCCACATCAGAATTGTAAAAGAAAAAAATAAAGAGAGAAAAATCTGATTTACATATTTAAGAAAAAAAAAAAATTACATGCAAAATTATAATCATAACGATTGATCATATTCCTCTGGTATGCTCTGAAGTGCAGGCCTCCAATACTGCATTTGAATCTCACCAAAACTCACTTCACCTATCCTCATCAAATCCAGAATCGATATTCTCTTCATCTGAGCCCTGCTCAGCAGCTCCTGCAGCTGTTTCTTGTTGATTCTGATCCTCACCTTCGTGCCCGAAGCGGCCATTCTCGCCGGAGACTTTTCGCCTTTTCGATCGTCCGAGTCATCATCATCATCATCGAGGCCGTCTTCGTCGAGTTCATCGTCGGCCCAACTCACCGGCGGCCGCAACGAGCAATTTCCCATTTGGTTATTGGAGAGAGAGCTGTGTGAGGGGGGAGGGGGTGGAAGTTATATAAGGGGAAATGGATGTGGGGTCCGGTGGGAGGAGAAGTGACAGGCCGACCAACCTATCTGCCACGTAGGATGAGACGTGCCGGGGGTGGTGACAGGTCAGCAGAGGGAGGAATGGACGGCTGTGATTTATGGATTGGTGGGGAAGGAATCCTTTCGGTTGGGTTTGGGTGTGAATGGGGTTTTTGGAGGGAATAAAACTCTTCGGTTGGTTTGATGGATGGATGGTCACGTGCTGCAGGGGTCTGATTAATTAACTGCAATTAGATTTATGTTTTAAATTAGGAAGATTTACAAATATATCATTCAATTTTTATGTATTTACATACCTACTGTCAAAATGTAGGTTTATATATATATATATATATATATATGTCACATCATCTTAGCTCACCATTATGACATGTGACCAATAGTGAGTTACATGGCTCATAACTTCTGCAACTATCTACTATGATCTCTGTGATCAACTGAAGCTTCTGAAATAACCATATGCAATCCATAAAACCAATTAATATCATGACTTTCAACTAAGGTCTATGCAAGAAATTAGGGTTACAACCAAAATCTATAACATTTACAAAGGACTGCTATCTACATACAATTCAACTACGATCCTTGCAGTTTGCTATCACCGAGAACTACATTCATTACAGTCAGATTGCAGCTATTATCATTAAATTATTGTTGGACATGTACAATATTGATCAACCTATAACTGCATCATTCATAATGAATATTTTCAATGGGTTATTCCCCGTGATTTTTTTTTCAGAATTCTTCATAAAAAAATTGATGTTTCTCCTAATTATTTTTCTTTTCTATATATATA